AAACCCTGCCCCCGGCTTTCAGGGTGCCTGGGGGTGGGGGTCCTTGTCTAGCAGGGGAGACGGGAGTTGGGTGATTACAGAGAACGCATGACAAGTGTGGGGAGGGCTGAAGGTGCAAATGGAGTGAAGTGATGTTACCCCGGCCAGGGGAAAATAGAAAACTGCCTCCTTCCACCTTCTGATCTCACACAGGTGCCTTGCATTTGCCAAAATGCACTGGAACCCAGCCGGCAAAGGACCTGGGAAATTAAGAGTCCTCAGGCGTGGTAGTCCAGGGGCTGAACACCACCAGCCAGCATCTGGGCACCATTAGGGCCACCAGGAAGAGGTGATGGCCCCAAAAGGCCCGGTGTCCTCGTTGGCAGCGTGGGGACCGCAGTGCCCTCCAAGGGTAGCTGTGAGGATTAAACGAACTCATGGCTGGGAGGGGAGGGGGAACTAACATTTCTGAGAGCCAAATGATTTACACGTATTCCCTGACCGGATTCCCAGGACAGCCTTCCATGGTGGGAGCCGGATTCTTTCTTTCCAGTTCTGGGATTCCGGGTGTATTATGTCTGTGTCACTCTTACGTCCCAGATGGATTCCGGCCCCTCAGCTGACCTCATCTGGAGGTTCCAGTTCCTGCCCAGAGACAGGTACCCCGTTAGAATTCACCCCAAAGGCTGGACAGAGTTTCTCTCTCGCCAAGAAGGTCAGACTCAACTTCAATTACCTTTGTTCCTCAGGCCCTGAAGCCAGGCCTGCACCCCCCCCCCCCCCCCCCCCCCAGCACACACACACACCACCACTCTGCACAGCAAACTCCCCTTTCTCTCCCCCGAACCCCGCCCCGCTATCAAGAAGTCCATTGTCAGACGCACACACTCAGAATGCTAAGACTGTTTTTCTTTTTCAAGGGCCCATTCCTAATCACAAGAGGCCACTTAGTCTGAGTGGGGCCTGGTAATGTTGATTAATGATAATACATTTCTCAAGAGAGTTGATGCTCAGCTTCGTCTCAGGCCTCAGTACCCCCCTCTCCCCGTCACGTGCACATTAATCAGGGCAGCCATGGGTGAAGGCAGAGTTGTGACTGTGCCGTGCCAGCACAGCCAGGTTTGGTGAGCCTGAGCAGGGGCAGTGAAGGATTTAGAGAAGATAGACGAGAAGAAAGCTGGGCGCTGCGGGGGACGCTGCCCACACTGATGGAGAGACAGTGACGAGGCCTGTAAGCCGAGTCTTTATTTTATAGCCAGGTTCCACGAGGCAAAGTAAGGGCGTGGTTACCACGTTCTCGCGGGTTTCGAATCTACTCAGTTACCTGCACCTGATCAAGCTTTGTTTACTTGCTGCACCTCCCACAGCCTATATCACTCAGCCACGTGGGACCACAGGTCCGGACCATAGGTCAAGCTTACAACTATAGCCTTTGGTTATAATTGTGCTGGACTTGCACGTGGCTTTGCCACGAGAGGATCCTGCCTTCTCATTAGTCCCAGGCTTGAACCTGTCCAAACGCTGTAGCCGCTCTCCACATATGACCAGTGACCTTTTGGCAAGAGCCTCCAGCTCCCCAGCACAGGGCTCACTCTTAGGGTCCAGTTGCCTCTGCTCCCCCCCCCTTCAGCAAGCCCGGCACCCCAGTGAGAAGCAGAAAGAGCCCGTTGCATTTAAGAAACCGAGAGAAAACAGTTGGGAGGTTGCTACAGTACTTCAGGGGGTGGATTAGTTTCCTGGGGCTCCTTAGTCAGTCACCACAAACTTGCTGGCATAAAACAATAGACATTTATTCTCTCAGTTCTGGAGGCCAAACGTCCAAAATCAAGGTGTCAGCCAGACCACACCTCCTCCAAAGGCTCCAGAGAGAATCCATCCCTTGCCTCTTCCAGCTTCTGTTGGCATCAGGCATTCTTCAGCTTCCTTGCGTGTGGCATGTCACTCCAATCTCTGATTTCATCTTCACATCACCTCCTGCTGTGTGTGTCTGTCTTCTTCTCTGGTCTGTCAAATATCTCCTGTGTGCCTCTTCAGGGCACTTGTCATTGGATTCAGAGCCCGCACAGATAATCCAGAATGATCTCGTCTCAAGATCCTTAATTGCATCTGCAAAGACCTTCTCCCCTCCCTGCCCCCCGACAAATAAGGTCACATTCACAGGTTCTGGGAACTAGTACATGGACATATATTTTGGGGGCCACCATTCTACCCACTATAGGCAGTCGATCAGAATTTGGGGGATTATGTAATAAACATTTAAAACGTTTGAAATAGTTTGAAGTAATAAACATGATAAAATAAACATACTGTGTGGTTGTTTTTAGCAGAACTGCCCTGCTTCCTTGATCCAATCTTCCTTCATTTTTGGTGAATACCTTTGAAAAGCCTTTCCCAGGTGGGTAGGTCTGATTAATGACAAGACCTTTATTTTGCTGAGTGTAGTGTTTTAGAGCCAGAGTTAAATTGACCAAGACATTAGAGGGCCCTGGGAAAGCCATATGCGGAAAGGATGGAGAGAAAGGCAGGGAGCCAGGTGACAGCTGACGAGAATCTAGGTTATGAAACGGATTCATTCCTTCAATGAGTATTTATCTCAAGAAGCCTAAGCAAGCCCAGCTGGGTGCTAGGTAGTGGGGGTGTGATGGGTGGACACACATGACCCCTGCTCTCAAGTGCAAGGAGTCTCTTTCCCTGTGATGTTCAATGTCAACCTCTCCACCACCCCCCACCCTAATCTTCAGCAAAACCTACACTGCTTTCTCCTGCTCTGCAGATGAGCTTGAGGGAGGAGATGGGAGGAAATGCTATCTTGTTCCCAGGTTGGAGGCAAAGCCAGAGGCTCCTCCAGGAAGCCATGCATGTAGTTAACATGTGCTAGTGGGCCAGCAAGGTTGGTACAGGCATTCAGCATCTGCTCCCCCTTCTTAGGAAAGAAGAGCATTTTGATTTGCTTGTGGAAATTACCTCTTCCCCATTACAAGCAGTATTAATGGGATTGTCATTAAGGGTTTCCCCTGAATTCCTAGCCAAGGGAAAGCACAGTCCAAGCGAGGCCAGGAAGACTGGGAGTTGAATCCTAATAGGAAAGAGGGAAGCACAAACTAAAGGTGGAACTGACAGCCCAGCAGATGGGGTAAGATCCGGTCCTGCGACCTGAACTTGTGGGCCCTTTCCATGTCAGCTTTTCAGTAGACCCTTAGAATCAATGAGGTGTTCTGTTCCTTCCAATAAAGTCCCCTTGGCTGAAGTTAACCAGAGTCCTTTTGGGGTACCAGCAATCAAAGAACCCTAACTGATGGAAGGGATCAGAGAAGTTCAAACCCTTCCCCTCCAGGTGGCCAGGGCCTGCCGTGGGGACAGCCGCATCTTACGTCCTCAGAGCCGGGTTTACAGCTCCTCTCTCGAACAGTTACCATCAACATCCACATGTCCCTTAAGCTACCGTGACTGCCCTTAATTAACAGGGACACTCACCGTGTCGGCACCAGCCCTCGGGAAAAGGCCAACACACTGGCAGAGAGCAGAGGAGGATCAAATTCATCTGGGTCAGCGTAAGGCGTCAAGGGCCAAACCAAGCTTAGTAGGCAGTTCCGAAGGGACCCTCCAGCCTTGTGCCTAAACCCAAATCTGCACGCCCTGTGGCCCACTCTGGCTTGGACGACAGTGACTTGGCAGAGGTTCCTCCTTTCTCAATGCATATGCCTTTGGACAGGCCATAGGGGAATCGCTTGGGGGAGGAAAAGTTAAATGCATACCTTCAGTGACTCTCCCCAATTGTTCTTGCTGCCCTTAGTCTACACTGAGTCTCCTTCGCCCAAATCACCTTAAGTAGTCACACCCATGCAGGTAAGTACACATTGTAAGACAGAAATTGCTTAACTGCTTTTTAAAAAGTATCTCAATTTTGAATCCATTCTTGCTACTATCTCCAACCTCTTCTAGTATCTTCTTTCAGGAGTCTATGATTCCCCTGTATAAGCAGCAAAAAATCCTTTGGAGCTCCTGGGAGACCAGACTCTTAGCTCTCTCTCCCTAAGCAGGCCCAATTCCTCCTCAACCCATTACCCAGTCCAAGTTTCAGGTGAGTGCAGCAGAGAAGCACCTGTACGAGGCAGGCACTGTGCTAAGTCCTGGGACTACAACCGCGGTACGGTGTGCTAACAGACCACAGGAGAGACATGACACATAGGACTAGGGTGCGATGACATCATAAAGCAGAGACCGTGCCAGTGGACCATCTTGGAGACATTCTGCCTCGCCGTCAGATCTATAAAGGCCTCTCCTTGATGCAGTGTTTAAGCTGGGAGGGACCTGAAGGATGGGGACAGAGTGAGCAACATCAGTTGAGAATTGTTTCTCTTTCCCTAGGGCCTTCTCCAAAGCTGTCCCCAACTTAGGAAGAAATCATGTTCTAAAAGTCCACTTTCAAATTCACAGGTTTAGCATTCATTGTTTTTCTCTATAGAAACACACATACAGTGGCTAGGTTTTCCAGCTGGTCCACCAGCACCCAATTGTTTATAATGTGCTGCACCAACAATACCTATAAATAGCATTATTTAACCAGTCTTGTTTCTATGGGAAACTTGTATCGAGACCTGATGTCCAATGGAAACCCCTGTGCATAACCCCTCCTCTTCCTCATTAAGTCCCAGCAATTCTCTCATGGAGGTCTCTTCAATCCAGCCCTAGCCCCCAATCCCACTACTTGGTTCAGTCCAACCTTATACCTGCACTTAACCTTACACCTGGCACAACAACCCACTGAAAATTCAGTCATCTGGTCTGCAGTTCCTCCTCTCTGCAGCTGTCTCCCGCAATGTTCCAAAACATCCCGCTTCATTAAACTAAAAGCCAAGGATGAATCCTCCAACATGTGAACAGAAGTATTGCTATGTCACTATAATAGCAACAAAATACTGGACACTCCTAAATGCCCAAGAGATGGCTGGTTACAGAAATTATGTAGTACCTCAAAGAGGGAGCAGAGGAGACATACAGAAACTTATGACAGACAACCATCAAGTTGTACATTTTAATTTACAATTTTTTACCAATAAAAATGATTAGTTACAAAAAGGGAATTTTCTACACAAAATAAGGATTTTTTTCATTCATAAAGAGAATCCACTGTCACGTCTTGCCTTGCCAAACCAATCTCAAAGAGTTTGCTTAGCTAAAATTATTCCTAGGAGAAAGGTAATCCAGGTAAGATTAATAAAATAATCAGCTCCTAACATGCATTTAAAAGGACGAATTTAAGGAGCATTTTGCCTTGACCCAAAGAATTCTGTAACAACCTTTAGAAACACCTCTGCTCTTGGCAGTCGCACTGCTGAGCGGGCATGTGAGGCTCCAGCTCACTGGCCGTGAGCACCTCCTAACAGTGATTTCCACTCCTGCACAGAGTGCACATGCAACGTAACAGGAACATGGCTTCTACACGTCACCAGTGCATTTTACTGCGGCCACGGAACATCTGACAGTTAAGGTTCAGATTCCGCCCCCTCCTACACTGCCATACAAATTAAGTCTGGAGAAATACACACAAACTTGATGAAAAAGGAAGACCTGTTTTCAAACCCCACTTCCTTGGCTAACACATCACAGTGTAAGAGTGGGGTGAAGAATAGCCATCCTGTTAGCGCAGTTTCCCGAAAATAAACTTGATCGAAATGCCTGAAGCCTTTTTAAAAAGTTGTCTAAAGTACGGCAGCCACGCCACACTGCTCCTCGCAGTCTGCTTCCGGAAAAAAACATCAAATAGGAAACTGTGTGGAACATGTTCAAAACCCTTTATTCGGTGACAGGCCTAACTCTGATGGAAATTCCCACCTGTGAGAAAGGAATTGTGGGTATTTACGTTGGTCTGATGTACACTTGTGAATCAATGATAAAGACCCTCAGTCACAATGATTCTAAAGCCATTACAACCCAAAATGACGTGACTCAGATTTGCTTGCATTAGCTCTTAAAATATGATCTTCATACGGAGGAGCTACACCCTCCTCACAATTAACTGACGTATGTGGCCATAAAAGGGGGAAGAGAGGCCAAAAAACTGACATCTTAAAAAGGGCACAGGATTTTCTTACCACTATACTTAGTAAACATATAGCCAGAATGGGAATGAAATGCAATCAACACCCAGGGGCCTCTCAAAGACAGCATCTCCCGGTGAAGTCTGACTTGGAATTTTCTAGCACAAACAACCCAGCTACTCTGGGTTCACACACAGCCAGGATGCCTCACCCATCAGATGCAAAGGGATTATCCCACCACAGTTTAAAGCTAGCTGCTGTGTAAGACGCAACTCCACTATAGCTGTGGTCACTGAGGGAAAAAGGGCCTAGCAACACCTTCATGCGTTATTAATACCAATCTGCGGCCCTCGCTGACCCAGCGGTGCTTTTTTATCAAAACATCTGAAGAGCTGGCAAGTGGCTGCAACTGATACCAGGTCACAGGATTGCAAAGCTGAGAAAAGGCTCTTGGTCCCCTGTTCATATTCTCCGCTACTGTTACAGCTCTGCCACCAAAGGGGAAGAAAGGTTTGAACAAGGTTTTCGTGACCAAGCCTTGGCAAAAGTCAATAAATAAAAGAGCTTGTCAAAGGGAGAACCACTTTATGGGCAACCTCCTCTAGCTGCAAATCTGGGGGGGTGGGAAAAGTAGAAGGGAGGCATGTGCAAGAAAGAGGTGAGAGCCCCTTTGACAAGCACTTGGTGGCCCAATCGCAGGTGCCCAGGTTGGCGACAGCAGACCAGGACCTAGCAAAACCCATCATTTGGACAGAAAAGGAAGAGGAGACACCAAAAACCATAGTCATTTCTGAAATTTGCACAGTTGACGTTTGTTCTTCATAGCAGAAAGGACTTGAATGAGAATCACGAAACTTGAGGAACACTTATATTTTCTTCAGGATTTAAAAAATGGTGTCTTGTACGGAAAGACTACATTCAGTGTGGGCCAGGTCCACCAGTGTTTGCTGGGACGCAGTTGCTGAGCACACCCAGCACTGGGAGGAAAACTTCATCTGAGCAGAGTGGCTGGTGAGCAGGCTGGAGGCCACTCCTTCACTGGTCCCCAAGTCGGAAGCCCTGTCCCCAGTTGTGTCTGCCGCCTCCACCATTCTGATCAGCTGCTCGCCTCACGCTAGCAGGGGGCATGCCAAATCCGGACACACCTCCTCTCCTGCTGGGCAGCCAGCGGTACCTGGAGCAAGGCGGGAAACAAAGGGAGAGAAGACAACAAAGTCACTTCCACACGCTGTCAGGCCATCTAGCACCGGCTCCCTTTCCCAGTGTCCCCCGGTCTGTCACACTGAATTGTATTAGTCTGTGGCCAATGGAAGGCTGAGGACAATGTCTTACTAACTTGACTTTTCAGCACTTAGCTCAATGCCCTGACCAGAGAAAGCACTCACTTTCAGGCTTCGTAAATTTACTAAGTTTTCAGCTACATTTACACTCTAAAAATTTTTTCTCTGATTAGCAAAATAATTCATGCAGAATAGTACAAAAACAGAGCTATTACTCCCACAAGCCTGACCACCAGAAAAAAACACCTATTATGTATGTAGTATTTTGACAATATGCATCTGGATCAAAGGGTACAAAATAAATTCACTTTCCAAGGACAAATGTGCAGCCTGTGTTCAGCCCCACATGGTGCCTCCACCATGCAGGCAACTGAGTCCCGCAGCGTCCGTGGGAGGACTGGAGAAGGCAGCATTACGTCCTGGAGGTATGAGTCTATTTTTAAAGTTTATTCATCATTTGCCCTCCAACTGCATTCATCTCATAGGTGGTGGGAAAGTTGAAGCCCAAACAGGTTAGCTGGTTTGCCACCTTATAGTTTCACAAATTAAGAGTCACAGAACAGCTAAAAAACTTAAATAAAAGTCCAGGTTCTCAGTTTTTCCAAAGATTTCCCTTCCTTGACTATGAGGAAACTAAGACTATGTTTACACTTATTCCACTCACTAGATCCTCAGTTTAAAGGTTTGCTTGAAGAAGACTGTGTGTGATACCTGTTTAAACCATGAGGGGTGACTTGCCCGCAGAGCACAACCTGTCATAAAGGGTTTCCCTTACACCAGGTACCACATGTTGGTAAATTCATCTCACCTCCACAACTCTAGGAGGTGGGCACTACAATGACCCCATTTCATAAAAGGGAAAACTGAGGCAAGACTGAGTGAAGCTCTTCTAAATTGAGAGTCAGGATTCAAATGCAGGCAGCCTGGCTCTGGGGCCTATACCCTGCACCAGCCAATACACCCCAGGCTGCAACGGGACACACGGTGGTTCCAGTGACAGCAGTTAGGGACTGCAGCCGTCATCTGTTTACTTCACCTTCATGCTCCCTCCCAAAAAGATAATGGTCCCCTTTTATACAGAAAAAATAACTGCAAACAGCAGAGAAGAGGGGATGCCTACTTTTCTAGATGGAATGCAGAATGGTGATGCATCTTAGAATTCTGTAACTCACATCTTCCCCTTTCAATGAATACAGCTCTAGCTTTAAATCAAAATGTATTCCCAAGCACTGTTTCTCGATATCCGCGACGTTCTGGTATGATAATGCTCCTCCATGGTGCATAATAAAATAGAACACTAAAACAGGCAGTGCTCGGGCCGTTTTGCTTTGGTTCTTATTGTAAGACAATATGGAAGCCATCTCCATTGCTTAAACAGACAGTGAAATTAAATGCAAGTAATTAGTATAAAAAGACACCCAATTATACATAATCAACAAAAAGTTATGGTAATTTCAAAGCAGTTCCTGTTTTTGCAAGGAGCTACATTTTGTCATCTGATCTTTATGCAAAACATAACAGAAGGGCTTCCACCAGCAGAGCTCAAATGCAAGGCAGGCTCCACGTGCTGCTGATTCTGCCACAGAATCTCATATACTTTGTTGCTCACAATTGAGAAATGTCTCCAAGCCTGGAAGTTAGAATATGACCATTTAAAGTATAGTAACTGTTGGCTGTTCCCCAAAGCACCACGTTTTTATTTTAATGGATGCATCTGCCATCTGACTTGACAGACCTAGATCAAAAATCCATGCCTGCTGTTATTGTGTGTCCTTTGATAATTAGAAAGCAGACTGGTCATTTGTTTTTTTAGCCTGGAGGCAACTCAAGACTCAGAAGAGAAACAAGTTTCTTTTTATGCTCTTAAAGGAGAAAACAAACAAAAAACACAACACAATAGTGTACTTCTCTGTTTGTATATTATATTTCATAATAAAATTCCTTTAAAAACTATCCCTAATCTATAAAGGAATTGTAAGAATGACAAACTACAAAACATTAAAACATGCAAGACTTGAAAAGGGCTGGTGTGTGCTTTTTTTTTAAGCTTTGAAGTGCAAGCTATTACTGCATATCCCCAGCTGGAGATTGGGTGTGACTGCCAGGCAGTCTTTTGCTTCACGGACACAATGGTCATACTACTTACATGCTTGAGTGTGTCAGCATCTCTCCCGCCCTAGATCCCAATGTCAGAAACAGGCCCAGAACTTGTATTTACTGAGGCTCCACTACTGTGCTGCCAACAGTCCTGTGAGCTGGGGCTCCCCCCAACTTACTGACTGGCAAACTGAAGCTCGGAGGTTTGACTTAAGTTTCCCAATATCAAAACTGGTCAATGAGGGGAATGGGATTCCAACCCAAGTCTGTCTCAAAACCAAAGCTGTGTCCTTGGCCTCCTCACATGAGTAAACCCTAAAGCAGAGGGCTATACAAACTCAAGTCTCTCATTTAATTCTGAAAAGTCCCATAAATAATATAATCGGTAATATTTAATAGAAAAGTGTTACATTACTAACCAGTGAGCTAATTTATCCCCGTCACCCATCCTCACCCAAACTCTTGGGAGAAACTGATAGCCTGTCATCCTGGCCCCGCAGCTACGCACACTGGCCCCGCCCATCGCTCCCTGTGGTGCTGGCTCTAGTCTCAGTGGCCCCTGGCTAAGGTTCTGTGGTTTTCATTCCTGGTGCCCTGACTCTGTGACCAGGGTGACTCATTTGTTGGCTCACATTTTCCCATCAGACAGAGAGATAAATCCTATTCCTCCTCAAGTTTTTATCAGGATACATATGAACATGGACAGTAAAGTGATTGTTAAACAAGCAAGAGGAAAAAACACTTACAAAAACTGGGGTGTGGACAGAAAATTTCTTCCTCCTAAGTCCATTGGGTATCTGAACATTAGGAAGAAATAAAGATGTCCAACCAGATTTCCAATGAGCTCATTGATGACCCTGCAAACAGAGAGCCAAGTCAGTTTACAGACATTCAAGCAGTGAAGTGAGGAGTAAGTTTTAACTAACAGCACAGGGAGGAGATCCTCATGGCAGCCCACTGTGATCCCTGGGGACCTGTGACAGCTTGGCAGCGAGCTGTAGTTTGAGTGGCAAATGCATCCTGAGGGAGAAGGGAAACCAGGCCCGCTGGACCTATGGGGTCTGTGCTCCTCAAGGCCAGCTGCCCCTTTAACATCTCTTTCAAGTCCTAGCCCATCCTCAAAATACTGTTTTTGCGACTTCCTGCCTTAAGAGTAGGAAAAGCTGCAAACTTCTGAAATCTTCCAAATATGAATACTGTACCTGCAAAACGTGGTGAACAATGAAGACCAGCAAGAAAGAAGAATGGGAGCAAGGAAAGGAGAGACGCCTGCTCCTCATTCCTGGTGCCAGTGAGCACTCTCCCTCGCTCCCTGTGTCCTGGTGTAAGCCATCACAGAGATCACTTTGGAAATGTGACCTTCACCCTGTAATCCTAAAATAATCACTGACCTTCTTCAATTTCCCCACAGCTTACACAGAGGCCACTGCAAGGTTTTATAGATCCACTCTTACTATTGCATATCTTTCTGTCTCACTGCAACACGATTCCGGCAGGGACAAGCCAGCATGTGCAACTGCTCCCAGCTCTGTCCTTCTGGGGAGCAGGGTGGCCTTACCAAGCTCACAACTAGCTACTCTCTAAACCAGCGGTTCTCAATCTGTGGGTCGCGAACAATGAAAATACATCCTGCACATCAGATATTTACATTACGATTCATAACAGTAGCAAAATTACAGTTATGAAGTAGCAACGAAAATAATCTTATGGTTGGGGGTCACCACAACATGAGGAACTGAATTAAAGGGTCGCGGCATTAGGAAGGTTGAGAACCTCTGCTTCTAAACAGTCTGCTTACTTGACTCCTTCACTTCTCCCTATCAGTATGCGGCAGCAGTTAGGACCACACAGAGCAAATATGACAAACATACTAGGGACTAGTACTATTAGAATCGATTGAAACATTACAAATATGCTGTAGTGTAAGAAATGGGAGTTCTCCGAATAGCTGCATGTTATCCTCTTCCTAGAATTCTGACTGGATGCAGTCAAGGTTTTCCTAAGTCTTCGTCCTAATTTCAGACTAGAAATTTGACCCTGTTTGGTCAAACTTCTCTACTATTCACCCAGTTACTTCCCATCTGAGAATATGCATTTCTGTGACTGGTGAGCCGTTTCCAAGGCATTAAGACTAAAGAACATAGTTACTGTAGGCACAGCTCTTAGAGTAATCAGTTTAGACACAAATTAGATCTGTTTGCTCAATCTGGACAGTGAATCCAGAAATGAGTATTTATTCAAAAACACATATATGGAAGCCTACTGTCATAAAGAACTAACAACAAAAACACTATCACTCAATACTAAAATGTACTTAAAGCCCTACAATTTAATCAATTAGATCAAAATAAAATCATTCTGTAAGACAAAGTTCCCATGCATCAATGTTGAGATTCTTTAGTTTCATAAAAATTAGAGAAGGAAGATAAAAAAGAATGGAAGTCGTCCAAGGATTAGTTTCCAATTAAATAAATCTAACAGGGAACACTATTTGGCTTTCTGCCGGAATCAGTGCTTTCCAAATAGCTTTTCTTTTGAATTCAAATAAATGCCTGTTGCCTCTCAAAAAGAAAAAAATAAATAAATCTCGTATCACTTACGAGCCTCCGATGATATAGTTGAATCCAAGGATAACCCAGGGTAGATAACAGGCCTAGAAAAGAACAGATACACATGTGAGTCCCCACACTTAACGGGATAGAGTGGGCAGGAATGGGTCAGAATGTTCTGACAAGGCTTTATAAATCCCTTGAAAAGTCCTGCCCCAAATTTCTCCGATCAGTCCAGCATCACTCCTATGATACTTGAACTTCCTACCTAAACTTGTACTTATTCCTCCATCAGTGACTGGAGAGACAGAGCTCCTTGCTGACGGTTTCAAATGCAATACAAACAGATTGATATTAGCACCCAGGAAGCAGGTGAGTGCCCCGTGCTATTAAAAACGTGGTCTGTAACAGAATCTCCTCATGACTCCAACCAGCATACTGTTACCAGTAAATTTAAAATACCCCATCTTTTGTGGCTCTCCTTTTGCATATTTCACAAAATTAGTTGAGTTTTTACCTCTCTATACATTGATATCTTGAACTAATACTCTCCCGAATAAGACAGCCCTCCAGATAAATTGAACACTTGAGCTCCTTACGAGAATCAAGACATCATACCAAGAGTTAAGGGACTTTATAAACCAGGAAGGAAAGGGTTATCCCTAAATAACATGAAGGCAGATGTGGTAATTACTGTAAGAGAAACACAAAACATTGCAGAAGCCCAAAGGCACAACTAATTCCAGGCAGGTGACTCAGGAAATAAATATGTTCAGTTAAGAACAAATAGGATTTGCAGGAGTAAGATAATTTTAAAAATGTTACAGGTGGAAAACTGTGAGAGAAAGCACAAAAGTAAGTGTTTTGAGGGCAAACAAAAACAAATTTTGTCCAAAATATAAAATATATAACAGGGAGTGTTAAGAACAAACTTTAAAAGACAGGGTTTCACATGAGTATCTTCCCTTCCCTCTCACTACCACACACACATACAGGAGATCTCTCAGGGACACATGGCTGAGGGGCCTGAGGTACAGAGGGAGTGAGAAGTGACCATCAGCAAAGGACTCTGGGTTGGCTGAGGAAATGGGGACTGAGAAGGCAAGAAGGGGCTTGCCAGCGGTACACTGCTCTGCACTGACCTCTTCTGGAAGAATCAGAAAGTACATCTCTGGGCTGAAGAGGGATTTCTATAGACAAATGAAAAGGAAATTTTCCCAACTAGGCTGCAATACCTTAAATCGTGTTCCGAACCAAAATGACACAATCATGTCTCTGTTCAGCTGGGCCCAGACATAAAGCACCGACATGATCAGAGGAATCATCAGCAACTGCAAAATAAACAACATGTAAGGACCAGGCTCCCAGGGGCCCTAAAAAGAGGCTTAGTATGAATCTACCTTTTCACCTCTCCCTTCCAAACAAACCCTTAGAGGGCCTTTCAAAAAGCAAAAAGAAATTCAACTCATCAAAACTGTAAGCAGATCCTTCTAATGAATCATAGACATAATCTACAAAGCCCTATAATAAAATAGTTATATTATTTTAGACAGATTCAGAAAAATATCAGGGCCAAAAGTAGGCATAAAGTTTTACTAACTGTATATTCTAAATTTTTTAAAGATGTCTATCCTTTATGTGCATAAAAAAATACTGGATAGTCATCATTCTCAATGTTCAAACATGATAAAAGAGCCAGAAATAAGTAAGAAAAGTAATGACTTAGCTAACTCGTATAGGATCTTCAAAATAAAAACAGCTATAATTCTATCATTTCAAAATATCACATAATTAACCACAGAGATAATGCAATTTCAGCTTCTGTCAAAGGCCTTTACTTGTATATCTAAAACATGCAAAAGGGCAAATGGATAGTCGCAACTTACCTGCATGTCCATTGCTAAGCCAGTAATCTTGGTTTGTAAAGTTAAAGATCAGACAAAGAAAACATTCTGCACCCAGTAAAAGTTCATTTCCTTCCAGTGTTCTGAAGGAACACACTTTTCTATACTTCAGGTGGCTTAAAACATCCAGAGCACAAAGGTGTCTAATAATCTTCATTCCAAATATTCTATTAGTCTAGACCAGGGGTCCTCAAACTACGGCCCGCGGGCCACATGCAAATACAAATATTGTATTTGTTCCCGTTTTGGTTTTTTACTTCAAAATAAGATATGTGCAGTGTGCATAGGAATTTGTTCATAGGTTTTTTTTTAAACTATAGTCCGGCCCTCCAACGGTCTGAGGGACAGTGAACTGGCCGCCTGTTTAAAAAGTTTGAGGACCCCTGGTCTAGATGATGACAAGGAAATGGTAGACATTACCTGCTTCGGCATATGACTCAGTTTGGTCTCCTGTGTCCTCTTTCCCTCACCTCACCTCTGCACTTCAGCATCACTCCTTTAATTAGAGGATGGAGATGCCTGTGCCCTCTGAAACAAATAATGATTCTACATGTTCAGGGCTCCACAGTGTGGCTACAGTTATTTTTTCTTCCCTTCAAGGAGGGAAAAGGGCTTCCAAAGTGCCACATTTTCTGGCTCTTGGCCATGTGTCAATGGAAGCTAAGCCCCAAAGCAAGGACTTGAGCCACCAAGTCCCTTCTGCGTCTCTCGCCATCTGTGAAGGTCCGCAGCTGGAGGGCTGCTGACAACTGTGGTTGAAACAGCGGAGACACAGGCCGTGTCCTTCCCAGAGCTGGGTACTGACGGAGGGACTGCATCACTACTCAGGACCCCAAGACAAGGACAGTAAAGAGGTCAGAAAAGAATGCTGGTTGTAAATTAATTTTCTGATCAGAACCACAGATTTCAAAAGCTGTCTCAGGGCCGAGAGCCTTGTTGTGCACAGAAAACAAGCTGTCACACATGAGAACACAGAGAACTGGGATCGAGAAGAGGGAACAGTAATAAAACGCAACCAAATGTGGGAAAATCCCAGAGACGATGGCAAGAGAATGCATCACTCAGGGCTCTATGATTTACTACAGCGTTTAAAAAGAACTTCAACGAGTCTTAATTATTAACTGCAGTAAACGAAGATGCAAATACTGTCATTGGAAGTGTCGCACAGGACACTGTTTTCCCAAACCTGAAAACACACAGATACACAAACACACAAAAAAACTGGTTTCTTTCCAACCCAAAATAATAGACTGAAGGATACAACGATGCAAATCCAGTTAAAGAGGAGCATGAATAAATAGTCCGCTGGCCTCCCATCAAAGGCTCCTAGGAACAAAAATAAGCCAAATGTCATGGTTCAGAAATTCAGAACAAAATAAATCATTTCTATGTAGAGAAATGCTTTAAAAATCATAGAAGCCAAAATGAGAATATTTACAATCAGTCCTCTCCAATAAAATTTTTAAAACTATCTAAATTCATGCCTCAATAAAGCCCTGAACTACAGTCACCTAGGAAGGCTAACCTGAGTTTTCCAAATGAATTCCAGTAAGTATCATGATCTGATGGCCTCAGACTAAGAGAGACCCAAAGAGAGGACTCGATTCCAGAGCTGCCGAGACGCCATCACGGCCTGTCAGGCTTTCCCTCATGGCTCATTCATGACCCCAGGATGCATTTGTGATACTTGGTTAATCCCTTCTCCCTGCATTAAACCATAAGCTCTGTCGGGGGAGGAACCATATCTGTCTTGCCTACCACCGTGTTTACCGCAAAAGGACTATGCTGGGAGGTACTTACTGTGATTAAGCACCTCCACTTGATCCAGCACTGGGCTTACTGAGCTTACACTCCAGCAAGGGAGCATTGTGCAGGGGCAGGGAATGGAGGGCAGCCAAACCTTTCCATAGCCTCTGACTCTTAACCTTCATACTACATGTGAGGTCGAATGGAAAGACCTAGATACCCTTTAGACAGATGAGGAAATAAAGCTAAATGAGCAGTTACATGGCTTGTTAGAAGCAGACTGGAGTCTAATTACTAGTTTAGGGCTCCTGTCACTGCACCATATACCAGGCTCTGTCTTATTCCTGGGCAGAAAAATCAACATGGCCCAGCTCTCCCTTCTAAGGGGAGTCCTCACGCATTAGGCTAGAAGACAAGAAGAGAGACAGAAAAAAGAAACAAGTGACTGTAAGGCCACTCTGGCTCAAGCACTTACCTTACCTCCCTCTAATTTAAAACAATCCTGACAAGTGTCAGAAAGATAGAAAAAAAATCTACAATAAGTAAATAAATTTCCAACAAATGTCTCTTCTCTTTCCCCTTACCTCTCCCCTGGTATGTCAAAGGCACACTTCAGCCACAGTGGTGAGGATGCTTAATGGCAGGGATCACTCGGATGAATCAGAGCTGAAATTCTAACAAGTGTTTCTGAATTTTAATGATACTTTTGCTTCTTTTTTATGTGGTTTTGGCTTTGTGCTTTTTAAGGGTTCTTTAGATTGAAAACTTAAAGTACTGTACTCACATAAACTTCAGTACTTTATTCTTTGGCAAGCTTGCAACTGGGAATTTACAAATTAACTGGCCTCCAATTGCAGTCTTCGGTATAAATCAAAAATACAAATAAGCCGGCACTGCTACAGACTTAATTCAGCCAGGAAAATAGGCTTATGGCAAACATTTTGTCACATGTTGCCTTGAGGCTGTATGGGGAGGGAAGGAAAGGAATCAACAAACCTGGGTTGCAGTCCTGGCCGTGCTATCTCACCTACTTGTGAACTCTGGGGCATGTCTCCACCTCTCCAGACCAGTGTTTTCTTGTCTGTAAAATCTTATTTAAATGGAAAGACCTTAAAAGTTCCTCTCACATGAATGTTCATAGCAACATTATTCATAACAGCCCAAAACTGAAGAGGCAAATGTCCATCAACTGATAATTGGAAAAACAAAATGTTTTCCATACAATAGAATCTTATTTGGCAATAAAAAGGAATAAGCTTGAAGACACAATGGTAAGTGAAAGATGATAACCACAATTCCACAGGCCATGTATTGTATGACTCCGTTTTTAAGAAATTTCCAAAATTATAGCCTCTCAAATGGTTAAAACGGTGAGCTTCATGCTATGTGAATTTTTTTCAAAAAGAGAAAAGGTTCATTATTAACCTTTCTACTTTTATAAATGTTTGAAAATTTTCCATTATAAAAATTTTAAAAAACTGGTCATAGGTCATCTACACTTAACCTAGAGTTTACTACTGGTATAAAAGACACATTACCACAACTTAATCCTCAACTGAATTATATTAGAGGGGCAGAATGCTAATTAGGGCCCACGGGGATAAGGAGAATGAAAATCATCTATTCTGGTAGATTTCAGGACAAACCCTTGATATGGCCTTAGAATCCTGTTGTGTGTTTCACCTCAGCCAAGTTCACTTTACTTCCTTGAAGCTCCTGTTCTCCTCTATAACACTAAGAAAATGGGCTAGGTCACTCCCAGTAGTAACAGTCTGACACAGTATTAACGTAATGATGTTTTTCTTTTTAAAAAGCACATAGTAGCAAATACCAATTTAAGGAAAGATTATATTTGACACATAAATGCCCATTCTTGTAGTTCCCTGCAGTTAGGAGACTGGTTCGCCATGCTCAAGCTGACAGATTTAAAGATGGTTCAGAATTCTCCATCCTGAGCTAACAGCCAGCAGGTTTATGAAATCTGAAGTCAGCCAGCCTTTTCAAAATCATTATGCTCACATTTTGACACAGCAGTATCAATTTACTGCTTCCCAGGATAAGCAACTCAGAACAGCATACAAGCTATTGTAGGAAATAAATAACAATCCGCAAGAAACCTTGTAAGAAAAGATTTTTGTAAGAGAGCTTATCCATAACATCATATAGGGAGTCATATCTGATAAATTACCATGTCACTAAATCCTGGCTGTATATCTTAAAGTTGAGTGTTTCAATGACAGAGACTAAGTCTAGGCTTTTAATTGCATAAGGTAGTGTTTTTCAACCTCAATCTAGGAGACATGTACACTTCAGCCCAACTGTGCACTAAAGGACAAGGTCTGCTGTGTAACAGAAATGAGTGAGATGTCAAGTCCAGCGAAGGGCAAATAGCACAGCCACTAAGGACATGGGCAAGATTTGTAAGTCCCTGGGTTTGTTGGGGTTTGTTTTTTTTTTCATCTCTGAAATAGGGACAATGCTACTTATACCTCCTGAGTTTATTGTGAGGACAAGAAATCGAATATTCTCAGTGCCTAGTCCAGTCCTGGCACAGCTACCACTTCCTGAGCACTTACTCTCATTATGCCATCTCTTTATATAAACTGACTGCCCTCAAAATTCCTCCAAGTAAACATATGGTTTAGCAAGTTAAAAAGAAACAGTACCTGCAACAGTTATGGATAACGTACCTGTTTCAAGTCGTGTAGAATACTGATATAAGAAATATAAATTGACCAAATAAAGAAATCCAGTTCCTGGACCCACAGGGAAAAAAAAGGTGGCAGTGATGGGTCTCCAAATCTGTCCAGATCAAAATAAACACAGCTGTTAGTCTCTAAGCTTGGTTAATTTTTTTTTCTTTTAACTGCACAAAATTAACCCTTGCAAAACATTCTCAATAAGGAGAGCTACCAAAGGGGCACCAATGCCCTACCGGTTTGGCTCAGTGGATAGAATGTTGGCCTGTGGACCAAAGGGTCCCAGGTTCGATTCTGGTCAAGGGCATGTACCTTGGTTGTAGGCTCCTCCCTGGTCGGAGTGGGTGCAGGAGGCAACCAATTGATGTGTTTCTCTCACATCGATGTATCTCTCTGTTTTTCCCTCTCTTTTCTACTCTCTCTAAAAGAAAAAGAAAAAAATCAATGAAAAAATATCTTCAGGTGAGGATTAACAACAACAAAAAACAAACAAAAAGGGGCACCACCAGTATTATTCAAGAAGATGACCTAAGAAAAGTTCATCAGTTACAATCACATCAGTATACAAATCAATGGAATAAAACAACATCATAAAATAAGCAGTGAACAGTTCTAAGCAAGTTGAACACAAATCAATACTGTAAAAGTATAGGGTTAGTCTTTACAGGGATCAAACATGCAGTTAAGCCTGCCAAAAATGAATTACAAAGACAATTTCCAACAGTACTGTAATATCTCTATTTAGGAAAATACTACTACTACTCAGATGACAAACCTTGTCAAAAAATGTCATACGCAAAAGGTAAAAGTAAAATAAGAAAATTTTTACCCAAATCATTGTGCTATTTAGGCAATATAGACACTTGACTTTATAATATTAATCCTCCCCCCACCAGAAAAAATTACAGGAGGTAAGCTTCTCTCCTGATCCTGGGTGTCCCAGGTGCCTTTCCAGCAACAACGAATCAGTTTCTTGTATTTCTTTCAAGAAATAATAATGTGTTACTATTATTTGTCTCTTTTCATCCTATCTTATATCGCACTGTTCTATACCTTGTTTCATTCCCTTGAAAAATATATTTATTGCCTTCACAGTATTCCTTTTATGTAGATATCTAAACTTCATTTAAACTGTTACAATGCCACAATGAATATTCTCAAATACATTACATATAAGATAAATTATAAATTTCTGAGTCATTCTGCTATATCAGTGTCTGCATTTAATTTTGGTAGATTTTGCCAAATGTCTACAAAAATGTTAAACCAATTTATACTTCCTCTTAAAATGTACATTAATGCCTGTCTTCTCTATACCCCCACCGCTTAGAGCATTTTACATTCACCAATTATGGTTTTAAAACTTCAGCATTTCCTTTCTTCATTTTTCTGCTAGAATTGCATCTCTTATTATAAAAGTTTCCCTTTCTCGCCACTGCAAATATTTTCTGGACTGTCATTAGCCTTATACATTTATGATACTTTTGCCATACTTGGACACATACAGTTTCATTTCATGTAGGCAAATGTATCATGCTTACAAGATTTTTCACTCCAAGAAGATAAAAGTGCTCAGCTTTATTTTAGCACATTCCTGGTTTACCTAAGGAGTGAGGAAGAGATTTTAACTTATTTTTCTAGATGGCCACTCCGTTTTCCCAATCCTATTTACAGAGTAACCCATCTTTTCTCCATTGATTTGAAAAAGTACTTTTATCATATATTTATTCCTTTTTATATTCAGGTTTACTTGTAGACTATTCTGTTTGAAACTGAATTCCTATACCAACACCAAGCTACTTTAATTTTTAGTTTTACAAAGTGTTTTCATACTTGGTAAAGGTACATGATTAAATGATCCCCCTCCTGTTTTTCTACCACACTTGTCACAATTTTCTTGGTTAGTCTTAATATTTTATTTTTCTAAATGAACTAGAACCAATATCTTTATTATATCAATCTATACTAATAAAAGGGTAATATGCTAATTGGACCAGGAGACCTTCTGGATGTCCTTCCGGACAAAGCCATGGTGGCAGGGCCAAGGCAGAGGTGGTTACAGGTGATCAGGCTGGCAAGAGTGGGGGGAAGGCAGTTGGGGGTGAGCAGGCTGGCAGGCAGGCAGGTGAGTGGTTAGGAGCTAGCGGTCCTGGATTGCGAGAGGGATGTTCAACTGCCAGTTTAGGCCCAATCCCTGTGGGCAGTCGGACATCCCCTGAGGGGTCCCAGATTGGAGAGGGTACAGGCTGGGCTGAGGAATACCCGCCCACCCCCGTGCACGAATTTTGTGCACTGGGCCACTAGTATGATATAATGTGATATAGATATAATACCAGCCAGGAAGAAGTCTTTCATAGCATTTATAGTTTTCCATAGAGCTGCTGCTTTCTATATCTATCTCATCAAAGCTGTATTTTCTTATTGTTTATAATATTTGAAAACTGAGCTTCTTGGGATTTCCAAGTATAGAACTCTATCTGTAAATAAAATTGTGTATCTTATTCCATTCTTGTCTAACTCACTGGCAAGTACCTCCAGAACATGTTAAATAATAGTGGTGGAAGTAGATGGCTTTCCAGACTTTTGGAAAGTAATGCTAGCTTTGGCTTGAGAGCTAGCTATGTGTCTTACTGCACAAGCATAAAATGCATGGCTGATGCTCAAGAAGTTCTTGACAGTGAGGGAGGCTGCCCAGAGAAGCAAGAGTGGACGCAAGGGAGGGTAAGTGTGGTCTTGGAAAAACAAGTGCAAAGTCCCAAGGAATAGCAAAAGCAAAATCAATGAGAGGGTACTGCTAACAACTGGGGTGTGGCTACAACAGAGGACATCAGTGATGGGGCCTGACCAGACACATCACTGGCAAGTTATATTCTCCGAGTAGTAGGACCCACAGAGCTTAATTCCCTGTGAAGGAAAATGCACTTTAAATCCACAAAAGTGACTTTCCAAGAACTGTATATTAAAGCAGTAAAACAAAATTGGTTAACATTCATTTTGGTTTATACACAATTTTATCATAGAAACAGTAGTCTAATGGGCGGAAAAACACCCTAAAAATGATCTGAGAAGACCTAAAGTCTTAGCTTACAAATGCTCATTTCTGAGCCTCAATCACCACCATAAAAGGGGATGGCATACTAATACTTGCTGTTCTTTGGCTAATGATTTCTAAAAAAAATAATGTGCTATTCTGTTCACTTCCATGCATTGACTCATGAGGTGGATTTATAGATGAGGAAACAGGATGAGAAAGATTAAGCAATAGCTAGTAAGTGGTGGAGTGAGAATTTTGTCGCAGCCTGACCCCAGAGCTTACGATACTAAACCCCTACTTTTACTATGCCTCTCACAAATGACATCACCATTCTGAGGTATATTACAATTAGTAAACATTGCCAGTACTAATATACTTACATAAAGTTGATTATTCCTGCCTATGAAAAACACTGGGAGTAAAGACCAGAAGCAAGCAAGCGCTGGCCGTGGCCCTGAGGTAGCCATGGGGCCTTGCGAAAGTCAGGGCCGTGGAGTTGGTGTCTTCATCTAGCAATGCCATCTGTCCTATGACTCCCACCTTCCCTGTCTCACAGACTTTGTACAAGGCTGGCCTTAGGAAAGTGGACTAAGAAGGTGCTTTGTAAAAACACTGTTTATGTGGAGTGTATGAGTATTACAATCTTTAGGAGATGCACACTGATTGGGTTTTTACAAATGCACATTTTAAACTACCCCCATATGTCTGTAAGTTATTAGGGGCCTGATTTTAGAAAAGAAACCTTGGTTTATTTTTCTGACTACATTTTCACTAACACTGACAACACAACACTATTTTTAGCCACTGCATGCACCTGTTCTTTGGAAATCAGCGTCTGTCAAAATACCTCACTTCTGTTCCCTGTTCATTAAGCTTACCCTTGAGTTATACTTGCTTTCATTGATCTAAGAGTCTTATTATTTTTGTATTACTTTAAAATTATAATTTGAAAACACCAAGAGATAGTTTGTCTCTTCAGAAGGACACAAGGTAATACAGAATTTCTGAAATCCCCATGGAAAGTACCCAACTAAACCCCCTCCTTTCCTCTAATTGATATGTAAACCATTACAATAAGGAAAAGGCCTTATTTTCTGGGTTGGAGGTGATGGAGGTATGTCCTCAACCCCGAAAGCCTCCATGGATCCCTTTACAGCAGCCAGGTGCAGTGCAAAGAGCCCAGGACTTGAAGGCAGAGGTCTGTGTGCCTCATATGCCTGAAGTTTCGGAGGGGAGCATCTCATTTTAAACCCACAGTAATCCCAAGGCCAGACCCAGAATCACCCAGGTTTTCCATGAGGAAAGCTGGCCCCTCATTAGAGTTTAGGTAATCTGCCCAGTTGCTCACTTAACAAGGGCAAGAAGCCCATGTGTTCACTGGCATATTAGACCTTCAAAAAAACCAAAAGACATTGTTCTTTAGTTCAGTCCAACAACCTCTGTTGAGAGAATGTTTATTTCAGCCACCCTTGAACTAAAAGGATCTGCCACTGAAATAATCACAATTGCCATCCAGAATCTAGAGTGGGATTTTTTAAGTGGGATTTTTTAAAACTATCAAAAACACTGTGTGGGTTGTGTTTTTTTGTTTTTTTTTTCCTGAAACAATAAGGATTGGTTGATTTGGAGTTGAAGTCTGATTGGGTCACCAAGCAATTAAAAAGAAGAGCACCCATGTGCCAAATGCTGGTATTAGCAAACTGTGGCTTTTTTTTTTTTTTTTTTTGACACACTAGGTATGCAGAAAAAACAAATGAAAAAGCACTAAATCTCAACTGAAGATTTGAAAGAGCTACTAGAAGCCACCAATTCCACTCAGCATACCTATGTTCACCAAGTTATGTACCAGAATGTTCCCAGAAGCACTATGCATTCTAGCCAAAGCTGGAAACCACCCAAAAAGTCCAATACCAGTAGAATGGGTAAATAAATAGTGGTCTATTCCCAGGATGGAACAATCTGGGGATGAGCAATCTATAGCCACATGCAACAATATGGGAGACTCTCAAATGTACTATTAAAAAGACAATAGTTACTGTGCTATATACAGATGTCGAATCATAATGTTT